TAGTCATGTGGGGTTACATAATCCTTCCCAAAAGGGTATAGCAGTGATCTAGAGATCCCTCTTCAACAGCCGAAATATAACATATGAGGATATTTCAGGCCATTGACGACTGGGAGTGCTGTAGTTAGAGTCAATGGAGACATCATAACCCATGGGAATAGAAAGCTCGTCTATTACTTTGAGTTTGACAGCCAATCTCGAGATAGTTGAAGTGAATGCTGTCTCCTTGTTATCGCTATCTTGATAACTTATCGGGGTCAGCAAACAGGACAAAGTACACAAACCCAACAAACCTCCACATAAAGATGATGATATACCTACGCCGTTTTGTGTCATCCACTGGCTATTGAAGTATCTAGATAGGCACAAGGGAGAGAATATTCAAATGTTCAAGGTGCGACATCAAAAGAATCAACCCAGTATTAGACCTACGTCCGCCTTCGCCAATTGGTGGATGTGATTAGGTCAGCGTTCCAGGTCGCGTCCGCTCAAAACAAATCTATCAACTTATCCAACGCCACCGTACCTCAGATCGGTCTACCAACGTCTACCCCATTTTCCCGTCATTCGAGTTGCTGTATGCGCGGCTCGTGCTACTAGTCAATATGGGAAGTACACGGACGACGATATCTCGTCAAATAATCTCCAGCTCCTCGCCGGCGCAGGGTCGAGTCTACAGCGCAAGCACCCCCGGCAATACGCGGTCAACAACCAAGAGAAAGCGAGACGCCGATGATGACATTAAACTCTCGACGACTCCATTAAAAAATGCGCGCAGACGAGTGAATACCGCTTCCACAGCCTCAGCTTGCTCCATCGAGGTGATCGACTTGACAGCAGACTCACCCGCCACGACCCCGACCAAGAAGACTCGAAGCCCCAAGAAGCGCCTTCCTGGCGAGCCGAGCCCCGAACGACGCGCTAGGCCGTTCCGTAAGCAAGCGCCCAAGTGTTTAATGGATAGGATGAGGCGAGCACGAACCCAGAGGTAGGATTTCGCTGTACCCCGTTCGTGCGACTTTCACTAATCCGGATATTGTGTAGGATGTGCGTCGTGGATCATTGTGTCACCGAGGTGGATGATGCGCCCGAAGTCGTGTTTAAAATGGCGGGAACGACTGGAAATCTGTATAAGGTCGTTATTGGGAAGGTGCCTTCCTGCGATTGTCCGGATGGTGGTAAAGGAAATCAATGCAAGCACATTTTCTACGGTATGTGGACTGATTTCTTCCAACATTGTGGCCTGATTCCCTCATTACTCGCGGTATATCTTTATTCTATCCTTACAGTCGCTAACTACTATGGCCTATGAAGTCCTAGTAAACGCTCTCAAAGCCCCGGAACACCTACAATACCAGCTGGCATTTTTATCCTCGGTAAGAGTGTATCCAAAGGACACAGTTGTATAAGTTACTTATATGATCCGCATGCAGGAACTCCGTGAAATGTACCAGTCATCCCCCCTCAGCAGCCAAAAAGAACAATCGGAGGACAACAACGGCAAACGCAAGCCCATCGAAGGAGACTGTCCCATCTGCTTTATGGAACTCGAGCCAGGAAAAGACGAGATCGTCTGGTGCCGCGCAGCATGCGGGAATAACGTCCACAAGGCGTGTTTCCAGCAATGGGCTGCAACACAGAACGCGCAGGGCGTTCGTTGCGTTTACTGGTGAGTTCTACTCCCTGAGACAAAGATGGTGACGATATACTGACTCTCGTTTAGCCGTTCTGCATGGGAGACCGGTAGTAGCGAACTGGACCTAAAACAGCTCACCAAGGACGGATACGTCAACGAAGAAGGCTATGTCAATGTGGGCCATCTGCTCGGCATGCCAGGCGAACGCGGTACGAGACCGTCTCTGTACTTGTCCCTTTTGTCTGATTCTTGTTTCTGGAAAGATTGCTAATGAACGGTTGGTGATAGACTCTTCAACATATTATCGGCCCTGGGTTTCCCCGGGATCGTCCTATTATGGATCGCGTAGGTCGTGGCGTTCGCGATGGTAATGGGTTTGCGTACTACATGGTGCAAGGGCGTCAGTCACTGGGTTTTGGATTACTAGATTGCTATATACCCCTATCTGTATTTGTGTTGCTTGATGTATCCCAATGATACTTCACTTGCTGTCCGAGGCACCGCCGTCTAAGCCGTAGATGTGCAGTAATTTATCTATTGACCTATGAGGCTCTGATAAAACGAAATTCTGCTCGCCCGGTCGGTGTGCACCAAGAGGGCTTGACAGGTAATCGTCTGCTGCGCTATCGGCCTTGACGACACCGCTGGTCCAGTGTTCAGTGTATGGACGTATTGAAGTCTTGGGGTCTGTACGGCTGCATTTCGCGGGCCGTCTTACTGCTCCTCGGCAGTTGCATGGGAGGAGGGTTTCCAGCGTGATTCTCCTTCAGAATACTCGCTAGTTGGCGATCAAGTTTCTTGAGACTGTTTCCTCCCCTCAACCATCTTTGATTATTCGCTTTCCTCGACGCACAACAGCTACGCTGACTGCTTCTTCGCCCGTCATCCAGGACGGCATACGCTCAGGCTCAACGACACCTAGTTCGGCAAGCTTGCGAATACCACTGATGACGTCCGAGCCAGCAAATGTGAGAGATACTGTTGGTTGCGTGCGGTCCACATCATGTTGGTCATCCTCGTCGTTCGCCGGATCAAGCAGGCGCACGTCAAGGCGGTCCAGAGGGGCAGACGAGAGGGTCCCCGATGTGCCAAAACGAGAGTGAACGGCTAATTTGCGCTTCTTGGCGATATGGGAAGTAGGCTCCGTTTCTTTGCTCGTGCCGCTGTCCTCCTGGTTTTCGTTCTCCTTGCCAGGGTCTGAGTCTTGGTGGAAGTGCTCTTCTGGAGAAATAGTATCCGACGGACGTGGGTCCAAGGGACTCCCTTCCAGTACCGCATCGGCGAATATACTGAACGCCCCATTGGCCGCGTTTGATCTTCCAGGACCGCGGAGCGCCAGCAGAGCTTGCAGATTCTTCGCTGTCAGAGAGGTCGCTTTCAAGGCATATCGTTCTTGTGGCCGCGATAACGCTTTAGGCAAGGCATCTCGTACAATGCGCTGCAGACTCCGTGCATCGGTTGCGACGGCATGGTTGGTGGATGTATTTGATTTCGCAACGGGCGATGTCGCTATGGACGTGTAGATGAATGGACAGCTGTCGGGGAAAGCGACGTACATCACTCGCGACGAGTCCATCAGAGCCTCAGGTGGCTGGCGAGGGTTTTGGTACGGAGAATTTGTCACTAAGATGCGCAGGAATGAAAGCGGAAGCGAGGACGAGCGGACGAGATGGTAATGCGCTTTCACCAGGGGAGAAATCTGCTGCTGAAGGTTGCTCAGAAAAGTGGCGGCGTGGATGCGCGGTAGACATGCGGAGATGTCAGGCACCGTTGCTCCTGCGGATCGAGCACCGTCGATGCCAATGTGACTGAGTTCAAATGCGGTCCATCGCAGACTTGCTGGATGGTCTTCCATGTACCGAATGTCCACCATTGCCAGCTGCCGCAAAGTAATACCGTGTCGCCAGTCGCCCTCCAGTATACGATCAATCACTTCGCGTTTGCCGCCCTTCCTATCTTCTAAATCCTGGTAAGCATTGCGGACGTCCTCGATCGTTTCGGCGGCCGGATACGGACTGAGCTCGTCGTCGTCGGGGTTCTCGGCTTCGTCTTGCTCAAGGTATGGTGGAAATAATTGCGCGTTGCGATCATCAAGCCACTGGAACACCAGGTCCAGAAGAGCCTGACGGGATAGCCGTGAGAATGACTTTATCAGAGACGGAGTCGAGGAGGGGATGCGGAGAGTGTTGGGTAGACTGGCGGCTGTAGGCGCTCGGATAGCCTTCGGACGCGCCATTTCTGCGATGAATTGATCCTCTCTATACTATGAACGAAGAATAACCCATGAGGCTGAGTTATGACAGTGGTGTACGATTCCTTGGTAAAGCTCGATTGCGACTCCAGGCCCAAGACAGAAATAATAATAATAGGTTAGAATAAACAAAGCAAATGAGGTCACGTGGAGATAAGTTGGGGTTTCACGTGGGCGATGACTATAGCTACTTCTCACTCTTGTATATGATTGGAGGAGTCCTAACTCCAAAACATCTGTTCTATCACGACATTGTATTGGTCTGACATCAACCTCGCGATTCGCGAACTCAGGTTTATGTAGAAATGCAACATCTGCCTCTAGACCTACAGGTATAAACACTCTTGTGGTAGAAGGTTCTATAGATGAGCTGAATTACATTCAAGAGCACAATTATCAAGAGCTGATAGCATACGGGAAAACACCTCCAGCAGACATTAGAGCGCAATGACAAACTCCACATGTCACATTCCGTCTTTGATTGCGAGCATATTGAACTATTTCACAATGTGAGGACTTCAGTCCTTCGCAAGCAGATGTTATCAGATCTTTACTGGCGGCGTCGACGTGATCGACGCTGTTTGCCGGCATTACAAGGAGATATCCATATCTGTCTGGCAGGTCCCCCAATGGCCACTGCCAGTTTCGTTGAACTGCTTTCAGCGCGTCCAATGGTGGTCGACAAAGAAGTCGGTGTTCACACCCGAAACAATTCCACTTGTGCCATCTGGATTGAATAGGCTTCCGCACAGTTCAGCATCCCGGTTAGAAGGAACTGGGGAAGTCCGCAGGATAGAATGGGCGTTTTGGCGAATGAAATCGAGGGATATTTTTTCGATAGTCACTATCCACCATGAGAATCAAAGGCTTGCATCTTCGAGTTGCACTTACGCCCGACAGACTTGGCGGCTGCCAGGCAAGTAGCCGGATGAAAGCTCATGACACCGTATTTATCATCGAAATCCTCTCTGAGTGTTCTCAAGAGGCAACTTGCAAGTCCCCTGTCACGGTGATCCTTATCTACTACTAATTGAGTGATCCAGCAAACAGTTCTGCCCTTGGTGGACTTCCAGCGGCAGAAGAACGCATTCCCGACGAGATTCTTATTAATGGTCACCCTAATGTGAAACTTCCAGCGTCGTCGGTGGTACGGAGTAGATATTGCTGACGCAGTCGTCGTTCACTCAACTTGACCGGTTTTCCTGCCAAAGACGTTCGAAATATATAGTGTAAGAAACTCTACAGCCTGCTCACCAGCTTTCTTTGATAGCTTTGCCCAGACCCCGTAGTTTTCGTTGAAAAGCCCCGCAGCTTTGACCAACATGTCGTCCGTAACCTGCTCTGCTGTGAAGGTCTTGTACACTTGTGCTACCATATTTAATGGCTTTGGTGCTTTGGTGCCTTGATGTCCTCAATGACGGGAAAGGTAGGGACTGACTCGAATGTGACTCTTTAGATTCGTTCAAGGGAAGGCGTTGATGCAAGAAGCTCACGTATCTTAGGGAGGGAAAGGGTGAATTTGAGCTCAATGTGTCAGAAGAGGCTACATCAAGGCATACCATGGAGGAGCTCGAGAAGTGACCGTTGAACGGCTCCGGCGGTACAGGACGGTTGTGGTCTGATAATTTCCGACCAGAACGCAGAGGAGAAGTCTTCAGTTCCCTAGCATGCGCATATCCAAAGACCAGGTCCATTCCTTCGACGCAAAGTGGATTGATTTCAAGTAACCCAACAGTAACCCTATTTGAGCAGGGTTGTTACCCCACAGATCTCTTCCTTCATATCACAAGGATACAGTGACCGCAATGCAGATATAGCAGCCCTGACTCTGAGTCTCGATTTGTGGTCGAGCATCCCTATTCAATGCTCCACAAATCTTCTCAGGGTAATTAGGCATCATCAAAGATAATAACATTACTAATAGTGTTGCACTCCGCACTCCACACGCAGTCCATAGTGCACGGACACACACCTGAAGAAACTAGAAAGAAGGCCAAGGGAAGTCTTCACGTGTTGGGTAGCTTATCTGCCGCATCAGAGCTACGACAGTATATTTGCAAGGGTCATGGCTAGGACTGCAACTGATATTCATGCGCAAACCGCGTCATGGACAAAAAAAAAAAAAAAAATAAAAATAAAAGGCTAAACCGGAATAATCCGTCAGCTTGAGGCTTTGGAGCCAACCATCAACGCACAAGGGAAAGGAATACGAGATAAGGCAGGTTGATTATTAATGTGCGGGAAGTCATTTTCCTTGTGATTATGAGGAGAACAGCCCTACCAGTATTCGGCAGTCACACTGAACACAGGACACAGCACTGACCATAGTAGTAGAGTGCATTGACAAAAACAGGGAGTCGACAGATTACCGCCATTCGCATACTTCATCGTGAACTAATGGTTCCGGAGATTGGACTGTGCCTGGTTCGAGGGGGTTGTGAAATCTGGTTGACTCCGATCTCGGTCACCGAAAAAGATGACTCGGAAGCGATGTAATCCTTTCTCGATACGGAAAGTCAATGAGGCACAGTGGCGAGACAAAGGAGGGTTTACCTTGAATGTTATCTATTATTGTCAGTGACGAAGGGAATTCGAGTGAAAGATATCCGATCCTATATTTTAGATGAGCATGTTTTGTATTGCTGCTGTAGAAGTGATAAAATAAATGAACAGAATACTATCAAGCAACAATAGATTATTAGTCGTTTGGTTTTGTCAAATGCCGGCTGTGACACCCTTCTTGGATTTTTTAATCAGTGAAATCGGATCGCCCGACCATTCATCTTCAAGAGCGTTGACTTGCTTCCGCCGGATTAATCATCAGCCCACCCCCCACCCTGCGCAAATTCCCATCCACGCTCCCCGATCTCCCGCGTTCCACCGTTGAGGATTATTCATTGTCTGGTCTCTTCGTTCCTCTCTCTTCTACTCTTTCATCTCCGGACCCTCTTCCATAGTCAATTCGACCTCCCCGCGACTATTCTAGCACATCAGACAAGTGCTCACGACATATTCTCAGATTGATACGGCGGAGTCATATACTCGAGTCATTCCGCCCCTCATCTTTGACGCATTTGTCACCCTAAGAAGACATCATCTGAAAAGAAAACCAAGGAAGACAACCAACAGCTACTACTCGATTTTGTCTCGATAACTTGATAGAGGCTTAGCCTCACTCATACATCATGTCCGGTTTCAACGGCCGCCGCGCGCCCAATTTCTCTCAATACCTCGAGGATTTGAATGCCATTCCCTCGCCGTACGACCAGGCTCTGCAGCAGCAACAGAGACAAGATACTTTCAGCCTCGATGCTGAACTCTCATTGTTCACAAATACCGAATTCTTCGATTTCGACAATCTCGGAGATCTCAACCTGCCTACATTTGATGCTGTAAATGAAGACAGTGCGAAGACAACGGAACAGCAGAATGGAGGACCTACTGCCCACAATCCCGATATGGAGTTTCTGGGTCTTCTAGATGGTGAGTGAAACCTAGTTTTAGTGGTCTGATCTTTTCCCTTAACCCAAGCTGGACATATGGCGAAATTGTTCCCCGCGCAAGTGCTTGAAGGCTTGTCCCCTGTTCATTTAGCATGATCAATCATGCTATTACTGTCAATTGTGCTCAGACATTTTTTGCTTCTTCTTCCCCTCATTGTCTCATACGACTCGTGATATCTTGCGCAATCCTTTTTTTGATCATTGGGTGCACATGGTTGCGGTTCGCTATTTCCGTTGCACGGGCCATCATTGGATAGGCGAAGCACCTAAACCAACCCCTGTCTGCATGAACCTTTTTTCCCTGTCTTTGTGCGGCTATCTTAAAAAAGGTTATGTGCTTCCTGCATCAAATTTGCAATTTAGCGTTGTCGTGAATGGGGTCAAGTATGGCGCGATATCACGTGACATCTCTCGTCGCTATCCTCGTTGCATTCATCTGGCACGAGTGTAGCAGGTCGCTCTCGCCAATCTCAGTTGCTGCAGCATGATGTTTTATCTTGCAATGATTTCCTATACTTGTGTTGTCCAGCTTGGCTTCCGGGGGGCTGCGTTTTTGATCGGTTGTAGCTTGAGGCTAATCTCACACTCTTAGATGGTTTCGGCAACATGCCCGATTTCTCGGCAGCCAACTTGAACTCGATAAACTCTCAGGTTCCGGTTCAAAATACGCAATTTTCAAAGATCCCATCAATCCCTTCGGGGCTTTCAAATGCACCCTTCAACGCCAACCCCACCCCGAGTCAGTCGAGTTCGTCTGCAACATCGCCTTCTGGCCCAGCTACCAGCCCAGTAGCTGCTCCAGCTCCCTCTGCAACGACTGCAGCGGGACCCAAGCGCAAGAACACGCAAAAGTCGGCACCTATCAGCGTGGAGGAGGCTGCCCGCATTGCCGCGGAGGAGGACAAGCGTCGCCGGAACACGGCTGCTAGCGCGCGATTCCGCGTCAAGAAAAAGCTCCGGGAACAAGCGTTGGAGAAGACAGTCAAGGAGACCACCGAGAAGAATGCCGCTCTTGAAGCCCGCGTGACCGCGCTAGAGCTGGAGAATCAATGGCTGAAGAACCTGATTACAGAGAAGAACGGCAAGTCGGCGGAGGAGACCAAGAAATCCGAGACCGACATTGCCAACATGTTCAAGAAATTCCTCTCTTCTCAGAAGGCCAACGCTGAACGGAGTAGTTCCGAGTCCAAGATCGGTGTTGGCACTGCGTGAGCAGAGCTAAATCAAAAAAAAAAAGAGTAAAAAGAAAACAAAGTGAATATATTGTTTCCCGTCATTTTATTGCAGCTTCTCTGTTTATACTATTGAACCAGTATCTGGTTGACCATTATATGGAGGCAATGAGGAAGGCGTCTCACGGAGCAAAGGGTGGATGAGCGAGTCTTATGATTGACGATATGTTAATGTGTCTGTTTATCAGCGAGCCATATTGGATGGATTCCATCTAGGCCGCAGTTCATTTTTAATTCATCTCAATAGATATGGATAAGATTTTTATTACACAGTTGGTAGGCGAGTCTTAGTGCTGTGTGCACTATTATGACACTGATGGAGGATAAGCAGATTATGCACGGCATCAGAGATCAACAGCACGTTTTCCGTATTTAAATTACTTCAGACCTCGGACATCCTGTCATGATAGCAACGAATCCCACATCAGTAGAGTTTCGTGTGCCAAATTATAGCAGAATTACCGTCGACATGCTTCAAGAATACCGCTCACTTCCAATCCTCATTTTCTACCTGAGTCTGGCCTCCGCCCTAGCAGGCCACGCATGCCTCACCATCTACAATCGTTACCAGACCTGTAAAACCAACGTCCAATGGCAGAGCAAACACTTCCACAAACTCGTCCTGTTCATCCTCCTGGCCTGCGCCAGTCTAGCTTCGACATGGTTCTACATGTTCGCCTTCTTCGCTCATTCCTACCGCTCATGGCGGGGCCAGTGCACCCTCGCCCAGTTGCATGAACTCGAGCGCGCCTCTCTCCCCATGAAAGGGGAACTGTGGCTGCGCAACACGGGATTATTCAAACAGGCGTGGGAGGCTGTCTCCGAGACTCCGGAGCGGCATTGGTGGAGCGGACAGATTTTCCTGTTTACGATTGCGTGGAGTATCTTTCTGGGTGTTATGGGTAGTTTGCCTCCAATCTCATAGAATCAGCATCGAGATTCTAATGTGATGGATAATAGGTCGTCAATTCAACATCCCCCGTGTTTGGACGTATATGCTCCTCGGCCAGGTCGTGGCTATTTCCTTCGCGCAGAGTCTCTTCGCCGCGACGGTGGTGGTCTCCTTGCCGCGTCAGTCTCCGTCCCCTCCTCAGCAACCTGCGACTGCGTCTCGGAGTGATGACCACTCCCGTGAACGCAAAACGCTGTGGGTGCCGCCGGCGCTGCTTGAGCTCAGTCCGGTGCTTATCTCGCTGCTCAGTGCGGCGGTCGTCCCCTTGGTCGCGCACACGAGCTACTTTATGCCCGTGCTGCTGATTCCGCACCTGTTGCTGTTTGTTCCCGGGATTCTGTCGCCAGGTATGCTGCCTAGGGGATGGGGGAAGAGTGAGCCGGTGGCTGTGGCTGCCAGATGGTATGCGAGGGTTTTCAAGTGGTTGTTTGCGATTATGGTGGTTCTGGTGGCGCAGTCGACATATGCGTTGACGGCGACGGCGGAAGGGATGCTTTGGCGACGACTCCTGAGCGCCATGTCCGAGCATCCGGCTGTGAGTAGCGTCAGCTGGGACGTGATGTGTTGTTTCCTGGTTGTGGGCTCGTGGACGGCGGCTCATTCGGGGGATGTACAAAAAATGCTGGATGCTTATGACTAAAGAAGTAGATATGTGTAATTTACAAGAGCAATAGAACTATAGACCCTG